TTTTCCCGCCGTGGGCGGGCGATACTGCGCGACGCCCGGGCGCGTCGCCGCGCGCCCGCGCGAACGTCGGCGTCCGAATGGGGGAGTGCAATGCAAGAGAAGAAAGGAGCAGCAGCATCGCCGTTGTGGTGCGCCCTGCTTGCGGTGCACACGCGCGCGCGCCCCTTCTGCGGGGAGGAGCAAATGCCGCCGTGGGCGCGTGGCGGGGCCGCGTCTTTGCTTGCGGCGGGAACTTTCCGCAGGCGCCGTGCGGTTCCCGTCCGTGCCGTGCGGTGCGGTGGTGGGGTCCATTTGGCGGCGCCGGCAGGGGGCAGAGGGCGCGTGGCGCCTGCCCCGCGCAGCGAGTGTGTGCGTGTGTGGGCCGCGGTGGCCCTTTCCATTGCTGGTTGTGGCTGCTGCCGCCTTCGGCGGCTCCGCCCGCGGGTTGTTGTTGTTTTCTATTTTTGTTTTGAGGTTCGTGTCGGCTTGTTTGGCCCGGCGGGCGGGGGTCTCGCGCGGGAATGGGGGGAAAGAGCGCGGCTGGAAAGCCACCCCAAAATCGGAGGGCGAAGATGCAGGCAACCACGCGCTCATAACAAAAAGCGGCAACGGCGGCAACAGGAAGGGGGAAGGAAACAAAGATAAAAAAAAGGAAGTCTCACGCGGCCCCGGCGAGTAGCGGGCCGATTGCGATGGGTTTGCCCGGGAGCGGCGCCACCGCTTTCAGCTTTGCCAGCGCCAGCTCCAGCGCCTCAAAGGGCTCGCCGCTCACCGCGGAGAGAATACTCTTGAGGTAGTTCAAGTCCGTCGCCAGCTGCTCCACGGCGGCGGCCGCCTCCTTCGCCGCGTCCGGCGCGTCGCTGGGGAAGTAAATTGTTATGCCGCCCACCTTGTGCTCAATAAAGTCTGCCACGGCGGTTCTCACGATGTCTTCCAGCCAGCTCCCGGCGGCCGCTGCCTCCAAAAGGTCTTCGACACCGCTGGGGCGGCCGTCGCCGTCGCCGTCGCCGCGCAGCGCCTCCAGCGCCAGCGGTATTTCAACGATGGCTTCCCCGAGGGCCCGCACCAACTCGCTGGGCGCAACCTGCGCGGGCGTGTACGACGCAGGCGGCGTCGCGCGCGGGGGGTGGCCGCCTCCGCCGCCGCGCCCCGGACCCCAGAGGGGCTGCGACTCGTAGCCGTTGGCCTTGGCGACGACGGGCTCGACGATCGTGCGCTTCAGCGCCCTCTGGCACTCGGCGGCGCAGTCTTCCAGGGCCTCCGTCAGCGGCGCCCAGAGCTGCGTGCGGAGTTGGCCTTCGACGGCGTCCGCCAGGCTCGGGTGCCGCCGCCGCACCTCCGCGGTCGTCCCCGGGGCGCCCTGCAGCAGCTGCCCCGCCGCGTCGCGGGCGGTCGCCAGGTTCGCCAGCAGGCTTTCTTGCGGCGTCGCCGGCGTCGGCCGCAGGCCGGAGATCGCCCCGAGGAGAGCCTCGCGCCATTTCCCGACGCACATCGGGAGCGTTTTCTCCGGGAAGAAGCGCGCGACGCTTTGCACGGCGTCCGTCACGGCATCCATCGCCGCCTGAAAACGCTGCCGCCGCAGCGCTTGTTTCGGGTCGCCCAGAAGCGCCTCCACGCGGCGCGCCTCGCGTCGCGCGAACGCCTCCAGCAGACTGGGCTTGCCAAAGATTCCCGCCAGCTCCGCCAGGGCGTAGCTGGCGACCTGCTGCGCAACTTTTTCCCGCAGTGCGCCGCCACCGCCGGGGGTCGACCCGGCGCCAGGGGTGCGGCTGCCGACTTCCTCGCCCAGCCGGAGCTGCCGCACCGCGTCGCAGCAGGCCAGCAGCTCCTCATTCCGCTCCGCCGCCTCCAGGATGGGCCCCAGCGCGCCAGAGATGCCGCCAACCACCTCGTCCACCATCAGCTGCATCACTTTTAGCGCGCGTGCCTCCACCTCGTGCGGCGCCTCCGCGCGCTTTTCCGTCCGCAGAGGGTCCGCGTTCGCGCGGTCGTCGTTCTGCGCCATGCGCAGGGCATAATCCAACTGGTCGGAAAGCGCTTGCCCGATGGACGGCATCAGTTGCCCCTTCAGCAGTTCCGCCGCACGCGCCGGCGAGACAGCGGCTGCAGCGCCGCTTCCGACTAACATGCGCTCCACCCGTTCCTTTTCACTGGCCATACTTTCCACGGCGTACTGCTGAAGAACCGCGTCCGCGCGGCTGATGGTGTCAAGCACTCTGAGCAGCTGGGCCGCGCGGTCGACTTCACGTCGTCGCAGCATGTCCACACATTCCACCTCAACGGCGTGCTGCACAACCTGCTCATACCGTTCCACCGTCTCAAGCTGCTTTTCTCCAAAGCTGACATCCAGCTTGTGCAGCTCCGCAAGATTATTCCGAACCTGACTGATGGACTCCGCCACCGCATCCATGTCAACCTCCGATGGGGATATGCGCAGCCGCTGCATGACATCGTCGAGCTGTTTCATGTGACTGTCCACCTGGGTGGCTTTCCGAAGCGTGTCGGAGCACCGAGTAAGCTTTTCCTGCGTTTTTTTTAACGCATTCAGCTGCGCGACATAGGGCTTCGCAGCCGCCTCCACCGCCGACTGCGCCACCTCCTGCATGCTCTGCAGTTGCGACTGCAGCTGCTGCGCCTCCGTGGCCATTCGTGCAACCTCCAGCCCGGTTCGCGGTAGACGCACCAGCGCCTGGGCAATGGTGTCCTCCACCGACCCGGAGACCTCCTGCAAGTGGCTTTGCAATCGGTTAAAAAGCTTCGTGACGCCGGCCTCCACGTCCGCGTCGTTCGCCGCCGCCGCCGTCGTCGTCGCGTCCCCCGCTGGCAGTCGCTGGAGGGAGGCGTTGATCCAGCGTTTGATGTCCACGTGCTCACTGGCGAGCTGCTCGAGGCGCAGCTCCGACGCATCCGTTGGGGTGTGCATTTATGCCGCCGCCGCCGCCGCCGCCGCCGTGTTTGTCTGCTGGACGGCTTTGCTCTATTGCGCTACTTCTCTTCTTCCTTCGCCGTGCAGTGGCGGGTGTGGGTGGGTGGGGTGGGAGGGTGCACGAAATCGCCGACCCCGGCAACAACGACAACGCGGAGAAACGAGAGAAAACGCGGTAACACACTCAAACAGGCGGAAGCAGCAACTTCCCGAGCATCAGTAAAAACGGTCTCGCACTCGCACTCGCGCTCTCTGTGAATGCGTTTGTGGTTCCGCAGAGCCTGCAAGAGCACCTCGCTACGTTGCTGACTCTGCATCTACGTTCCCCGCCTCCGCCTCGCTTTCTGCTGCGCGTTAGCACTTTGGGTTTTATTTAGTCTCCCCCCTCTGACGCTAACGAGGGAGAGCGAGAGAGAGAGCGAGAGAGAGAGAGAGAGAGAGAGAGAGAGA